ACGAAACGGTACTAGTCGACCTAACCTAATTACTACGTACGGTACGTCGGTCGACGACGCGTACTACTTCCGTTCCGTAGAACCTATCTACGAACTCTCTAAGCAACTCTGAGTCTCCTTGCTTGATTTTGAAGATATCTTCCATTCGTTTTTCAACTTTTTGAGCTCCCGAGTGTGCTTTGATAAATAAATCTACAAGCTCAGCAAACGAATTTATAGAAATTTTAGGTAAAAGAGAATCCCATGTTAAGGCTCCTTTAGTAAGTGTTTCACCGAATTTTTTGACCAAGACCGACTCAATTTCTTGCTTAGTCAAATCATTGCCCTTGACACCTTTTGTGAATGCAGTAACATGATCTCGTGGGTCTGATGTACCATCATACTTTGGAATATCAGGCATCTTAAACTTCTTTGGAATTGGGAGGGGAGCAGCACTTGGCTTCCATGGTTGTTGGGAATATTTATCTATATCCACTCCCTTGATCACGGGCGGTACTCCAGGTATTTGCTCTATGCGTTCATTTTGCTCCTTAAGCTGTTTCTGCAAGGTTAGTACTAGATTTTGTAAATCAGAGTTAACTGGATTACCTGGGTCTCTCTCTTGTGTTTCACTAGGGGTACCGCTGCCTGAATTAACCAATCCTGAACGAGGATTCTCCAAAGTGTTGTTGTTTGGAGCAGACGTGGGTGGGACAGCAGGTAATTGGCGAACAAAAGCTTGAAGAGCGTTATTGACTTGAGAGGCAATAAGTTTTTGCAGAGCCTCATTCATGGTTTCAACATTTTCGAATTGAGCCTGACCATCTGTGTAAGATCCATCAGGAGTGCCTTCACGGGACCGTCGTGGGGAGCCTCGTGGAGAACCTTGTGGGGAATCTCCCTGAAGTTGTTGGATTGTCTGAATTTCTGGGTTTCCTTGAGTGTTGTCATTGTTGTTTGACATGATTGATGCAATCAAGAAAATTAGATTGAGATATGCTTGATTATCAGATTCCCGGTAACGGAACCAATTTGTTTAACCAAAAATTAGATTTTAGGTCAAAGTTTGAATTTAGAAGAACTCGGGTTACTGATAATCGGAAAAGTGTATAAGAAAGAAATTTTGAATGATATAATCAGAAAGCAAATAAAACAAAGTATATTCCAGTAGTGTTTTTCGTATCCTACAGATGTTGTGACTTCCTCTTTTTATAATTAATTTTTAAGAGAAAGTGTAATGCCTTTGCTTTAATGAGGCAATTACGAGCAATAAATGATATTGAAGGAAACGTTACTCAATCATTCATATTAAATACAAATTCTCTAACGTATTTGGCATTTAATGCTGAATTTGGACTCTTTTTCGCTATCAGATTCATGTCTCCAATTTCTTCTGATCTTCGAACTTTAAATGACTCGAACAGGTACGAGTCTCGTGTCATTTCAATAATAGTTCGTGCCTTTAAGTATCTTCTCTCCCGCGGCTGTTGTTGCTCGTGTCTTCTAACTGATTACCACGTTTTGACTATTTGACCGGTCCACGTGTCATGACACGTCACATTCAATATTTAAATTCAGTTTTTTCCCAATACAGTCACTGTTGGTAGTATCCTTTAGCTCACCATCCTTTTCATGTATGTACGACAAGGCCAGTCCCTTGTTTAGCTTTCCATTCCATTACTTGATTCTTTGGTATCACCTTCTTCACAGGCTTTTCTTTATGCTTCTGCTTCTGCTCGGGGATTTGGCTTTCATAAGAATTATTGCAGCCATGACCCACTTGAAGGCAAACCTCACAATAATCTAGCACCCAATCATACCAAACTTCTTGTTCAAAATTTCTTCCAGTTGGACCCTGGACTTTTATCATCCGTGGTAGAGGGACAGTCACATCTATCTCGACTAGGACCCTGGCAAAAGAGATCCTTTCTACCCTACTCGTGCACTCATCAGCATAAACTTGATTTCTCAGTACACTACTAATCCTGCTAAGTGTTTCCAATTCCCAACAGTTTAGAGGCAACTCTGGGAACTGCACCCATAATGGTACCATTCTTAAGACCTCCTCATCAAAATTAAAGTTTGCTTTCCATGGTTTAATTATAATCGGCTTGTTATTTATTGTATGGGGGACTGAATATAGGACTTCATCTCTGACTTCTAGGGTATTAAATTTCAAAAGAAAATATCCATCATTATGCAAATAGATCTTCGGTTTAGCAGTAAAATTCCATTTTACTGCTATGTATCGCTCCAGTGCTCCTATGGATGGTGTTGCACCCATCACATATAAGATCGCTGCCTGCTTCCACTTTGCTGTTCCCTTCTCCAATTCTGCTTGATTTAGCTGCGTAATTTTCTCACCCTCCTTTATCACCGGAGGAATGTATGATAAGCTCATACCCCGAGCTGCCAGCCTATTCCCCGCAAACAGGTTTACCCACTTCATATCCTTTGTAGTTTGTTGTTCCATCTGAGGTTCAATTGCCTTAAATTATTATTGTGGATGGGATATGTAGAGTACACTAGATTCTTCTTTTATTTCTTTTGGGAAATATTCAAGAACACTATTTTGCATTTCAAAAAAAAAAAAAAAGAAATAAGACAAATGCAAATTTGTCTAAGGATTCCTTTTTGAAATCCACTACTCCTGAATTACCCTCTTCCACCTTGTTGTCTACTCATCATTCCTCTGCCTCTACGTCTACTACTGTCTCTCATCCTATGTAAACTTCTTCAAAGCTTAGAATTTTTAAACCTTAACAGATTCTTTTATTGACTATTGCTGTACATATCACTGAACTTTCATGTTTCTCTCAAACTGTGAAACATTCGAAGTGGCAACAAGCCATGTCCGATGAATTTAATGCACTGTCGAAAAATCAAACTTGGGTGCAACTTGTTCCCTATAATCCAAACATTTTCAACTGTGTTAATAAAGTAATTAAAACATATGTAGTTTTGATTACAAGATAAAAACCTACGAATTGGGAAAGAAGAATGATTCACAAACAACTATGCTTATGAGTATTAATTAGGAGTCCAATACCGAGATATGAAAGGTTTAATACTAGAAATCATGTGCTAAATAGAGTTTAACAACATAAATCAAAAGCTGTATAACAAATACTAAATTTTATATCCGGATAAGAATATTCGTTTCCTTCAAACCAAACAATCCCTAAAACTTTAATATTCCTAGAGAAAAATAATTTTCTCAGTAGACGAAAAATTATATGGTATAATCTCTGTTATCTAGTCCTTGCAGTCTTGGCTACTATGCCTAACACCACGCTACGTTTAAGGCTAATTAAATCTGCTCAGAGGTAATTATTAGTACCTTACACGTTGTAGGTTAATTAAATTGTCTAAGTATAAGGCTAATTATATTATCTGATAGATAGACAAACCTCACACATTGTAGGTTTATTTATTTTAAGGGATTCAATCAATTGCCAGCCTAAAAATTTTCTTTACGAAGAAAGGCGACAAAATTATAAGCATGTGCAAATAAAAAACAGAGTTATCTGAATTACAAAATGAAGAGAAGAGTACCTACCTTAACTACCTCTTTACATTCAGTGACGACGTAGGCGCTTCATCTATTGAGACATCGCCACCACACAGCAAAATATTATATGAAAAGAAACATAGTACACGACTCTAGTAGTTGGCAATGGTGGAAAGGAAGAAAAAGGAACACATAAAACAAAAACACATGAATCACCAATTAGAGAATATGAGTCAAACTTGGTTTTGCTCTATTTATCATTATTTCCAACTTATCAATGCAGAATTTCACTGAAACGGGTGAGGATGATATGACAAGAACTTTATCCAAAAAATTGAACCATAATTTCTAACTTGATGTTTATCATTTCTTATTATTTGGTGATGATGAAATACAAGTAGTCAATCTCTTTATCATAACCAATGACTTGACATAATTTTCACTAGGTCATAGAACTTACAATTTGAAAGTTGTCTTCGACCTTTCAGTTTAAATCCTTTCAAGACTAAGGGGAGAATTCAGATCTAACATGCATATATGGCAACAAAATTTACATGAAATAAATTTAGTGTTACCTTTTGAAGAAACCACAAAGAGAAGCGAACAACCCTACAACTTGAGAGTAGAATCGATAGATATGTGTCTTAGGTGTAGAAATTTCAGATGGTAAAGAAACCCTAAACTGGAGATCAGGAGGGAACACTTTTGCCTTTTTGGAGTTAGAGGGAAATACTTTACTCAATGCGGCAATATATGGAGGGAATACTTTTTTTGCTGAAAATTTTGTGGACAACTTTAGAGTGCACTTATAAAGTGTTGCTTTTAATACTACACAAATAACACGGTTGAAAGGGTAGCCATAAATATAAATAAGTGTTGCTAATTATTTTAAGATTTGGTTACATTTGTAAAGCGTAGTCTATACTTTCTACGGGCATAGTTTACGAGCGTTGTTAAATTTTTCGTAGCCAAAAGTCATAAACAAAGGCACCCTTAAAAAATATGCCCATAGATAGTTTTGGCCACGTTTTTCAAGCGTGGGATAAAACCAGTGTAGCCTTAGGCCAAATTTGTTGTAGTGTTAATGAGGTGTTAGTAGTTGGAGCAAATGTCAAACTGATGGAGAGGAAGAATGTAAATTAGGGTGATATCACGCCGAGAGGATCATTAGAAAGAGAGAACACCAACCCAATCTCGAAAAATAAAGAGAAGTACAAGCACAGACATTTTCTCGATCAAGAAGGTATTAAACTTCTCGATGCACCTCTATCGATTCCTTCTTTGCTCATCTCTCTTATGAAATTTCTTTTGTAACAAGAAGCAGGATGCTATAGCTGACTCCATCGAGTCCACTATGAACAATTCACCCTTTTCTGGATTATTGCCGATGTAATCATAAAAAGCGAATTTTTCAGGGACCGTATAAACTTTGATTTTCTGCTAAAGAAGAATCTTTCTGAATCACTTCGTGTCATCAGAGCCTTCAAGCATCCGAAATACGTTGGGATTGAAAATGATATAGCGTTCCTAGTAGAAAATGAAGACTCTTTCAGAAAAACAAACTTATTTAAGTTCTTTTTCCCAAAAAAGTCCCGTTCCAACCGCCCAACGAGTCATCTACTTAAAAGGACCCTCCTTGCAGTCCGCCTTCTCTTGAATTATTCGGTTATGCAATACTTATTAAATAAAGGTATCATGGTCACAACATAACTCGAGATAAATAATAAGTTTGTCTCCAAAGGACAATTCGATAGTTAAGAAATTAAAATTTGAATCACAATATCACGTTTGAATAATAATTTTTTTTTTGATGACCGATATTTGGTAGAATCTGACTTCCTACGCTAGAAGCAAGACTCCGAGGGTGAAGTATGACAGTTAGCTTATAGCACTAAATTATAATAGACATTAGGTATTCTTGGTTAAAGAAAAATAGAATAACAAAAATTATCCACATGTGTTCTGACGTCGTATATCTGAGCTTGGCTTTCGATAGGATTTGGAATTCAAGTTGGGCCGCTACCATCCCACGACCAACTTGAGTCTATTTTCCTTTTTTTTCCTTTTTTTCAATATAAACACCATGCATACATTGCTCTTATTCAACTAAATAATACACCATATTTAAAAGTAATGATACCATAAGCCATGCACAGATGCACTTGAACTCTCATTTATACCAGAAATCATCATGAAATGCAGGATTATATGGAGCACAGGTAAACATCATCTATATTTTCCATGCCAAAAAAAGAGTCAATAGTAGACGGAAAGCGAGAAACACTCAATGATTCTGAAAATTCTGCAAGAATAGTGCGGGCAAGTAATTGTTTAGTCTTGTAGTTGAAAAATAATTACTGCTATGGAGGTCCAAATTTCACATGTATAACTCCATGATAATATCCTAGAGTTTCACATGTGTGGAATTTGAAATTCTACGAAAAAGACTATTTTTCAAGAAACTGAAAACTAGCTCTTTGTGAATTTAACATGTTACAAGAAAAATGGGCTCATGTTAAAGTAGAGTATTTTTTCATATACGTCACAAAAGTTGAATAGAATTAGACTAACAGTTATCGATTGCTAGCTAGTTTTGCATTTACTTAAGACTTCAGAACCAAATTGAGTGGCTATCTAAACATGCCTCCAAAGTAAAATATTAGTAAAACTAGTATATATGGCTTCAATGGAATTGAAACCAATGAAATTGAATAATAATAACATCTTGCACATTGCACATGTTAGATGTGTGAGTAAAGTCTCACCTTAAAAGCTGATTAGGAAAAAAAGATAGATATAAGGTATAATATAATCTTATACTCTTAATGGTATCAGGTTTTATGGGAAAAATCATGTAGGCTTCCCGAAATGGATTGTATCACAATAATTTAAAAGTGTTTTTAATTTGGGCTAGTTTAGCCCAAAAACTAATACTAGAGTCAATAGTTTGACAACATAGATATGAAGATAGATCAGGCCTAATAAAAGGACCAGCAATTGCAAATATAATCCGATATTAGAGTCCGGAGTCGAATCCTACAGGAAATTAACCTATTAATCATAACTTATTTTCTTGCATGAATTCACCTACTCAACTTTCAGAAATTGCAAATAACAATGGTTGTTATTTAATAACTAATAACGAGCAATAAAAAATACAGTAAATTATCACAAATAAAGTTGTAGACAATATTGGGAAGCCTAGAGTTATAATTTCTCCAATTATCGAAATCTTCCACCCTTATGTCTCCTATAATTTCGTCTATTACACTCTTCGGATCATGCGCACTTCGTTTATCGTAATTCTCTCTCAAGTAACTACAACAATTTACTAGACACACTCCCTTAAGTTACACTAGTTGCACTTTTCTCTTACCGCTCATTATAATCACGTCAAGATTTTGTTATCTCTAAACCCACCTTTAAACCTACAGTGTTGATCTCTCATACACTTTGGGAGTAGGTTGTTCAACAACACCTAAATATGCATTATTTCTCAAGTAATATACACTAATAGGTACCGCTAATTGATGTCCAGTCAATCAACTAAGTTAATCATGTAGTAGATTACGTAGAGAAATTCACCGGCAAAATTATATTCGAATATAACGAAAGTTCATCATTCAAAAGATTAAATCAAACTCAAGATATAAATTTATCTATTCATGATCATGCTAACAATCATATTCATAATTGAAAGCATAAATCTACAAACTAAGTAGAATTTAAAAAGAAGAAATCTTGTGATCCGTTGTTTGCAAGTGATCTAGTCGTATTTACTCTCGCAAAAATTGTCTAACCCCTAAAAGATTTAGTTTAAATAGGTATGTATATGCTAGGTTACAATTAGGTCCAAAATAACTAAGTCCTACGCTGACTAGGAGCCAAAACGCCTCGGAACAGGACCTGGCGCATCACACCCAACAAACCTCGCCCTAGTGCTCGCCTAGCGCGCAGACCAT